AGACTTTGGATTCTGTTCTTAGTGTGTACAAGTGTAGATATAGAAAATTATTGGTGGTTACAGTTGTTAATTCTAAGAGGTTTGGGAGACAGGGTTAGGCATGAAGGTACACATTTTTTACTATATATCCTTTTGTCTTATTTGAAGTTTATACCATATCTATATAATTACCTTTAAAATTGAAATAAAAAATATCCATATCATTCTCAAAATCTAATTCTGGGGGGCGAAAAAAAGTTTATTCATTGGTTTTATGGAAAATACAAAGACATAGAACTTGGTCCAAGCTTTCAAGAATATTAGAGTAGTAGGTGTATAATACATATTCACAATTTTTTTTTAATTCAAAAGAATTGAGTTGAACTTCTATCTCACACTATATGGTAAATTAACTCAAAATGGAACAGAGGCCTAAATGTAATAGCTAAACTATAAAATTAAAAAAAAACCAAAAACATAAGAGTAACCCTAATTGGTTTGGCTCAGTGGATAGAGCATCGCCTATGGACTGAAGGGTCCCAGGTTCGATTCCAGTCAAGGGCATGTACCTTGGTTGCGGGCACATCCCCAGTAGGAGGTGTGCAGGAGGCAGCTGGTGGATGGTTCTCTCTCATCAATGTTTCTAACTCTCTATCCCTCTCCCTTCCCTTCTGTAAAAAATCAATAAAGTAATTTTTTAAAAATCAAGTGGCTTAAAACCATTAAAATGTATTGTTTTGAAGTTCTTGAGCCTAAAAGCCCAAAATCAAGGGGTTGGCAGGACCATGCATGCTCTATTGAAGGCTCTAGAAGAGGGTCATTTCTTGCCTCTTTCTAGCTTCTGGAAGTTGCCAGCAATCCTTTACAGCTGTATCATTCTGTTCTTTGCCTCTCATCACACGGCTCTCTCCCTGTGTGCCTGTCTCTGTGTCTCTTGTCCTATTGTAAGGATTCCAGTCATACTGGATTAGGCCCACTAAAGACTTTATATTAACTTGATTACATCTGCAGAGACCCTTTCTACTGTCTCTGAACAGATTACCTCCCCTCCTACTTCACAGAGAAAATAGAAGTTATAAGCCATCAGAAGGAAATTCAACTTCCAACCACTAAACCGAGTACCTGATTTTATTGTATGTATACATTCTTTCTTCTTTTGTCATTTCATGAAAGAATTGCTGCTTTTCCTACTGAAAGCTAATCTCTAAAGAGTTTTTCTGGCCCTGGTGGGTTTGGCTCAGTGGATGGAATGTTGGCCTGCAGTCTGGAGGGTTCAATTCCTGTGCCTTGGGGGGCATGTGCCTTGGTTGTACGGGGGGTGCAGGAGGCAGCTGATCGCTGTTTCTCTCTCATCATGTTTCTGGCTCTCAGTCCCTCTTGTTTCCTCTCTGTGGAGGAATCAATAACATATTTTTTTTAAAAGAGTTTTTCTAGTCAGGTCACAAATAAGAAGCAACCAATGAATGCATGGGTGGGTGGAGTAACAAGTCAATATTTCTTTCTCCCATCCCCACTCTCTATAAAATCAATCAATAAATAAAAGAATTTTTCAAACTTGATGTCCAAAGCTGATATCATCATCTTTCTCTCAAAATCTATTTCTCTTTCCATGTTCTCTTTTTTTATTGTTGAATGGCATACCGTTTATCCAGTTACCCAAGCAAAAAAACACAGGATTCACCCCTGACTGCTTCTCTCCCTTACTCTTTCCATCCCAACACTCTCCAAGTCCTGCTTAACTAAGCAGAAACAGTTTCCTTAGGACCTAACACTACATACATGTATGTCAACGAAGCCCACACTTGTATTCACATTTAAGCACCCAAATAATATTCAATTGATTTCATAGCCACCTACAATACTCTTTCCCATCTGAAGTTATTTAATCACATTTTTTCCACTTCCTGTAATTGTAGGGTTGATTTCATGCATTCAGATGTATAATTTGACTTTTTCTCCTGTTTGTTTGTGTGTGTGTGTGTGTGTTTGTTTTTTTACCTTCTTTGGGCCTATCATAGACTTATCATCCTAGCATCCTTTGGGAATCTTTATTTTCTCTTCCAGTCATGCATGCAACTTGAGGACATGATCATTGCAAGATAAGAGAATTCATGGAAAATGCTAGGCATAGTACCTGGCACATAATAAGCCCTTAATAAACATTAACAATTGTGGTGGTTGTTATTTCAATATCCAGCACAGAGTCTAGACCTTTAATAAATACTTACTGGTTAGTGAATGAATCAATCAATCAACAAACCAAAGATTGATAGAATGAATACATCTCAAGCCCAGTAAACTTGATATTATTATCCCTCTTCTGCAGAAAAGGAAACTGAGGCTCAGAGAGGTTAAATAACTTGCCCAAAGTCACTAATCTGTAAAGTAGTGGAACCAAGACTGGAACCTAATTCTGACTGACTTCCAGGCGTATGTGACCAATCCTCCTCTACTCTGCTTTCTCATATCTGTTCTCAGATTGGATATAACTAAGTTGTGAAGTCAGAGTGAAGGCTGAGAGGCTTCCCAAGGTTCTGTATTCCAAGCCTTAGGAAAGCTGACTCTCCTGCTTATAGCCCTGGAACGTGGGATTGTGGAAGAGGCATAGAGATGGGCATCATAGCACTGGGAGCCCCACCTCTTGCTTTTCCTATAGGCCTCCCACATTCTCTGCTTTAAGCTCTCTGCTTGGCTGTTTCTCCCAAGGAACTAACAATGCCGTGTGTCCCCAAGGAGATACTTTTAACACAAAGAGCCAAACCCCAGGTGAGTAATTCCACTGCTTGCCAGGACTGGGGTCAGTGGAGTCTGGGGCCCAGAAAAGAACCAAAAATGGTATAAAGCACACTGAGACCTGTAGGACACCTGTAGTACTTCCCTGGCTGTGAACTTCCTTTTCTGTAAAAATGGGGTGGGGTGGGGGGAAAGAGTGACAGTTCTGCCTGCTTCATGGGACTGTTTGAGGCACATTAATAATAACAGCTAACGTTATTGAGTGCCACCTCTGTGCCAGGTACTGTGTTGAGTGCCTTTCATATCCTCACAGTTAGTCCTATGAAATAATTGTTGACCTTTTCCCCACCTGTTTCCCCCCACAAATGAGGAAACCAAGATTCATGGAATGAGTTACTTGCCCAAGTGCTCTAACCCTAAGTGGCAGATCTGAAATTTGAAACTGGGCTGCCTTGGAGCCCTTCGGTGCTGCGAGACCACGGCCCAGAGAATGTGTGTGAGCTCTGAGGAATGATACAAGCCTTGTCCCTTTTTTTGCACAAGAATGTACTGTATAAATATGCAGCTTGTTAAGATTGAGACTGGGTGGAGATAGTTTTCCAAGGAGGCAGTTGAGTAGATCAGATGGGTAGGATGGAAGGGCTGTTCCTACCCACCCTACAATTTTCTGGGTGGGAAAGGGGGACAGCACTCAGTCTGAGGGGCTCTCTTGTGAAAGAGAGTCCTAGGGCAGGTTGAGATGGGAGCAGAGGTTCCTTGTGTGTCAAGCCAGAGCCACAACAGTCAATAGTCAACTCAGAGCCGAAGAGCATTGTGGCTGAGGTGATAACGGCGCGAAGGCAGGGAGCAGCTCCAGTTCTGTCAGGCTTTCCAGGAAACCAGGGACACGCAGCCCAGAAAACAAGTGTGTGCAGGAGCCAGCCCCACATGTGACCCCTTCATCCCCTGCCTCTCTCCCCTTGGGGCTTCAGCCACCCGGTTTCTACACTGCTCGTTCTGTACGCACAGCCCGCTGCCTGGCTTCCCTGGCACCTGCCTTCCAGGCTCATTCTCTCTCCCACACACCAGAACTCTGTCTGCCGTGGCAGCTCCTTTGTTTACTTCCATAGTGAGCGGGCCTGCCCCTCGCCAAGCACAACGAAGCCCAGCCAGGGAGGGCGAGGCTCCAAGCTCGGGCTGCCCCCGGCACAGGGCGCTTGCTTTCGGTCCTGACAGCCCAGGTTTCAGGTCTAGCGAGAAGGGACTGCAAGATCTGCCCATAGCTGGGCAGGAATCCCCACTGTTGAAACAGCTTTGGCTGGGAGCCCTGGGAATCAAAGACTCAGCTGGAGAGAGGCAGGGAAAAAGTTGAGGCCCCTTGGGTGGGAAACAGAGGCCTGGTTCTCCCTCTCTCCAGCCAGGCAGATTCCGGTCCTCAGCCCTTAGAACGAAGACTTGGGTGCCCCACCAGAGAGCAGTGCTCCCCTCCCAGGAGTTGAGGTCTCGTGCGCTTCCCCAGAGATTCTAGCAGAGAAAGGGAAGTGGGCTTTTAGTCTGGGCAAAGCCCCAAGTGGGAAACGTTGTCAGGACGTGTCTGGCATTGGACTGTCTGAGATTAGTGGGGAGGTTATTTATCTAACATGTAATTATGCATTTATATCATGGATAATGTTAAGGGGGGGGGGCTCTAGCTCTGTTTCTGGAGATGGGGTGAAGAGGTCGGAGGTGATAGGTGAGCAGTGAGGTGTACTGAAGGTGCCAGGCAGGAGGGTAGCAGGGCCATCGACAAGATCACGCGAAGAACAGTGCTCAGTGGCAAAAAGGAGGTGTCTCAATAGGAGAGGAGGGATCTCTAGCAGCAGCCCGGGTTCCCCAGAGAAAATTAGAGGCCCCTTTAAATGGTAGTCAGTTCATTCTGTGAGTGTGTGTGTGTGTGTATGGGGGGAGAGGGGACGCGTGGGTGAGGGAGGAATAGGCAGCTGATACAAGTGATTTTAGAGGAAATGAAATCCCCAATTTTCCCCACATTTAGGGAATTTCCCTCACACTTAGGGATCCATTGAAGAGACAATCAGTTTGACTAAGAAATGCCGGGAAGAAAACCTAATTCACTCTGTTGGCAGGCCACAGCAGAGCAGACAGAGCTCCAGACCAACGGGCCCTTGGAAGGAGCAGGAATGGGGTTAGAGGAAGCACTGGCCCCGCTCAGCCTGTACTCTCTGCCCCATTCCGCTTCCAGGACTGGGCCCTGGACACCAGGTTTATACCTGGGGCAACCCATCTCCCCTCGCTGGGCCGGTCATTCTCTGAGGGGTCATTGGGTGCCCTGGAGTAAATAAGGAGATTGCCACGGTTTTAGGCACAGCTTTGCTTTTTATCTCATCAATGTACATTTCTTAATCTAATAGTCTAACAGCCCCACATTCCTCACCCCTGCCCAAGCCCTCTCCCCCTCTCTCCCGCCCCTGCCCAATCAGCATCGCATCCGCATCGGGGGCAGAAAGTCGCCAGGCACCATGTGATTCCTGGAGGACGTGGCACCCGTGGCTGTCCCACGGGGAGCACTCCCTGGAGCGGCCAGAGTCCAAGGAGGAGCCCAGGGAAGGGGAGGCTCGTGGGTTGAGTCTCATTGGAAAACCAGGTCTGCTGAGTCTCTGTCCCACTCGGAATCTGTCTCCCCGGGCACATCCCTGCCAGTCAGAGCAGCAGAAGAGCAGACATCCCGGGCAGAGGGACCCGCGGGTGGATAGGGGCCTTCGGCCCAAGTCCCACTCCGAGGGCAGGCCAGGCCGTTGGAACCCCCTTTCCGGCAGGATGTAGAGACGTTCCTGGCTGCAGCTTCCCGGCTGCTCTGTGATCCCACAAGTGCCAGGAGAGGCTCTCGCGACCAGCGTCTGGGGGGGGGGGGGGGGGGGGCGCCACCCAGGAAGGCAGAAGGCCAGTGCTGCTACCTGCAGCCACAGGACTCCACCACCATGTCCTCATACTGCTTGTAGACCACGTTGTTGGCGGAGTCGATGAAGAGGATGCTGATGGGGCTCAGCCGCGTGGGCACGCAGCAGGTGGGCGGCGTGGACTCGGGGTCCATGGAGTTCATCAGGGTCTGGATGACCGCGTGGTTCGTGGGCTCCAGGTGGGAGCGCAAGGGGAACTCACACAGCCCCTCGCAGTGGAAGGCCTCGTACTCGAGGGGGGCGATGATCCAGTCATCCCAGCCCATGTCCTTGAAGTTGACGTGCAGCGCCTTCCGACTGCAGCGGGCCTTGGGGTTCTTGCTGGGCCGCTTGCCCTGGCGGGTGGCCAGCGGCGCCCTCCGTTTCCGCCGCTGGCTGAACAGGTACTCGTACACCGTCTTGTCGTCCTGGCCCGAGCGGGCCTTGATCTCGTTGAAGAACAGGTCCCGTTTCTTGGTGCGGCCGAACACCAGGAACAGGGCCTTCTCGTGGACCTGACGGGCAGTCCGGTCAAAGCCCAGGCCGCGGAGGTCCACGGCCCGGCCCCGTTCCCAGGCCTCCAGCTCCAGGCACAGCTGGGCCGAGTTCTTAAAGTTTCGGAAGAGCTTCCAGATGTCGAACACCTCCCAGCCAGATCCGTCCAGGCCTGGCACCGAGCGCACATCCAGCAGGGCTGCCGGCTGCCGGCCGCTGGGGCAGCTGGACAGCTTCAGCTGGGCAGCCCGCCCGCTACCGGGGGCCGCCGGCTTGGCTGTGTCTGAGGGCTTCTTCCGCAGGATCCGCAGCTCGGCCCCCAGCAGCCCGTCCTTCTCCAGGGCACTGATGTCAAACACGTACCTCTGCTTCCTGACCACAGGGCCTCGGTCATCTAGAGAGAACACCCAGACGTCATTCCCTGCAACCTCATGGAGAAAGCCAGCCACCTCCGCCTCCCGGGAGGGCCAAGCCCTCTCCTCTCTGGAGAGCTCTCTTTGACCTCTTCCCCACTCTGAGAGAGGCCAAGACCCAACCCCGGAGAGCCTTTGTCAGAATAAGGAGCGTCCTGCACAGCCTACCCAGGCTTGTTTATCCGTAGATGTGGCCAGGGTGATTGAGTGGTTCTGGGTATTTGTGTCAGTCACGGTTCATATCAGGAATCCACCAGCTTCAGGATTGCCTTCGACCTACCTCTCTCCGATCTGTTATGGAATATGATATCTCACTGGTGAAATAGGTTTGGCGGCATTGTAATTACGCCCGTTTTCCCAGAGGGGAAAACTGGAGCTCAGAGAAGTTAGGTGACTAGCTCAGAGCCACCAGCTAGGAAAAAGCAGAGTTGAAAAACTAGCCTAGAACTGTTTGCACTCAATCTGAAGCTGCTCTCCACTACACCTTAAAGAAGATCTTCGTGTCCTCTTTTTACAAATGTGGCACAGAGAGGGGGAGTGACTTGACTATAGTCACACTGGGAGTTAGTAACAAAAGTGGTCTACAATCCAATTGCCCTGCTTCCCAGTCTAATGGTTTCATTGTGTATTTGTCTCACCCTGTTGGATGTATGAGTGTGTGTGTGTGTGTGTGTGTGAAAGTTTGTGTTTATGACTGGGTTCATATGTGAGTAAAAAAGTGACATGTCAGGGGTATGTATGATTTGGCTTGTGTCAAAATTTAAAGGGCGTGTATGTGTGTGTGTGTGTGTAAGAAGATTCCATGTATACATATGTGTAAGAAGGTGTGTGCACACCTAAACACATATATGTGATTCAGCATGTATGTACAAATATGAGGCTGTGTGTATGTATAAGAAACTCAGTAGTATGTCCGAATCAGCATGCCCTCTTTCCTAAATACCAATTTGCCATGGGGAAGCATTCACATATTGCTCTAGAAGGTGACTAATTAGGCCTTTAAACTCCCCATCGCCCCCTCTCTGAGCTCCCTTAGTGCTGGGGGGCACAATGACTTACTTTATGGGCCCCCAAGGGGTCACAGCTTTCCCTGGCTGGGCAGGCAGCCAGGTCACCTCCCCCACCTCAGCCAGACCTGCTGCCTCTGTGCTCCCCCGCCCTCTGTCATTCCCCCACAGGCCAGCTCTAATGAGGAGCCTCTCCCACTCGCTGACCCCTCCCCCACCCCGCCAGCCCAAGTCCTAAGACTCTGAACCAGAGCATATGAGCTGCAATCACACGGAGGGAGAAACTGAGGCCCTGGGAGGGGAGGAGACTTGCTGAGATCACACAGCAAGTTGAGAGGAAAAGCCAAGACAGTCGCGCCAGGTGGGTAGAGGGAGAAACGAGGAGAGCAGTTATTCTCCTGGGTTAATGACAAAGATTATCTGTTTAGGACAGGACACAGAGTGTCGTATTCGAAGGGCCCTCCGAAATCCCCCAGTCCAGCCTCCGTGACCTGGCAGGGAGACGGAGCTTTCCCAAGGTCACAGTGCTAAACCCTAGGTCTGCTGTCCACTCCCAAACCCCGCATGTCTGACTGTCATTCCGTGACTCCAAGATGCCTCCGTTACTGTCTCCACCCATCCCGCCTCCTCTGCCCCCTACTCTGAGGGCAAAGTTGTGGAACCACGGGTGGCTAGAGATTAATTTCTCTGCCTTCTGAGAAAACCTACCAACCCCTGGAGCCTACAACGTTTGGCCAATCCACGCAGGAACAGGGCATGGCCTGGTCCCCAACTCTGCCACCCGCTGGCAGGTCTTGTCTCCTCTCTGGACTTTAGTCATCCCCTCTGCACCTTGCAGGAACTGGGCTTGGCGATCCCCAGGTGCCTCCAACTCCGACACACCGGCAGCCCGGAACCTGGCGTGTGAGATGGTCCCAGACACCAGCCCAGGCCAGGCGCACACTCCATCTCCCACCAGAGTGGTGCCAGGACTCTGAAAGGCCCCTCCATGCATGCAGGTGCCCCTCCCTCTGAGCCGTGCCCCGGCCACCCCGCCCCCTCACCTTGCCCTTTGTCAATAAAGCTGGTGATGGTGTTGGCCAGGCCAGCCTCCAACTTCACGCTGCTGTTGCTTCCCTTCCTGTCAGCATCGGACAGCGTCCTGTACAGCGAGAGCATGTACTCGTGGGGCGTGATGGGGGGCGGGCGGAACGGCTCCTTGGGCTCTCGAGGGGCCCCGGGCTCCCTGGCCTTCTTCAGCAGGAAGGGGCTGGGGACAGCTCCTGCCTTTGGGGGTACCTTACCCCCAGGAAGCTGTCCTTTGGGGGTCACAGTCCGCGTCGCAGCCTGCCTGGCCTGGGAAGGGTGTCCTGGCTTGGGTTCGGGGCCACCCGATCTGGGGGCCGGCTTTTTGGGTTCATCCTTCTTGGGCTGTGTCAGGCCTCCTGCCTGCCCGGTGCCCCCCTTGGCCCTGGCATTGGTGGCTCCCCCGCCATAGCCGTGACCCCCCGGCCTGAATAGATTCCGGGCCAGAGGGGGCCTCTCTTTGGCTTCTGCTTTGGCCAATCCTGGCCTGGTCCCCTGGGGTCTCTGGCCCAAGTCAGGGGCGCCCACAACCGTGCAGAGAAATTCCAGGTCCAGCCAAGCCAGGTGCCAAAGCAAAAAAGTGAGGGGTTTGGAGAGTCTCATCCTCTGGCCAGCCGCTGAATGGCACCAAAGAGAACGGCGGCAGCAGCGAAGGTGCCTCTGGCTTGGCAGGAAAAACCATGAAAGGAGCGGACCCTCAAAAGCAGCGGCAGCAGCAGTAGCAGCAGAAGGGAAGGCTTTCTCCTCAGTCTGAGACTCTTTAAGTCTGCCGGGTGTGTGTTTGTATCCAGTCCCATAGTGGAAATGCTCTCGTATCCAGACGTGCACCGTCTCCAGTCAGCAGCTGAAAATAACTCGTTCTTGAAAGGAGAAAGCCGACCGCCCCCTTTCTCCTGCACAACTGACTGAGGGCTTGAAGGAGGCTTGTATAAGGCTGAGGGATTTTTCCAAGAAGGAAGAATGGCGTAATGCTGCCTGTGTGCTCCAGTTTTTTTTTTTTTTTTTTTAAGTTTTGAATCCTTTCCAGTGAAAATACTTCACACACACACACACACACACACACGCTTGCAGGTGCTCAGAAAAATCTTTTTACAAACCTGAACTCAGGAATTGGAAACGGAATTTCAACCCAAACCAATTTAATTACTCTCTGATGTCATGCTGTCTAAACTCATTTAAGTGCGATATATTTATGTGAAAAAAAATCACCGCTGCCCTTTCGAGGCCATGGCTCACGGGGGCTCTTGGCACAGAGCCCCGAAGCATGACTCCGGGCTTAGGGGGCCCCTCAGTCCATGGAACAGACTCGGGGGTCTTCACCTCCACCTCCCCGGGCAGCCCACCCCACCCTCCTGAGTGAGGAGCGATGCTGAGGAATGAGCTCAAGGATCTTAAGCTCCCAAACACGGGGAGTGTGGGTTTTCAGCTAAGTCCTTGGGGTGTTTTTTAAAGCAGTTTTCAACTCCAGCGTCTAGCCTGGGGCCTGATTTGTTGTTGGGGGGCAGCACAGATGGCAGCATTTACCCACAGTTTCTTTATTTTATTTTTTTTTATTTTAATAAACTTGTGGTGACCTAGAGACAGAAAATATCAGTACCCACCGCACCCCTCCCCCGAACGCCACTGCTTGAATTCAGATGATCCCGTCAGGCATTGGAGGACACTGCCACCCGGGAGCCCACTGCTTGGATAGAGGTATGTCCGGGGTGTACCTCACTGCCACCCCAGGAAAGACAGACTCGGAGTTCTGTTGGAAAAAGGACTGGGTGAGTCCAGAGGCGGCAGACCAGCCTGGGGCAGCAGCGGCCCCTGCAGGAGGCTGGGAAAATGACTTCCCACATGCCGGGTTTCTGGTAGCTCTGGAAGAAGTCTGAAGTCCAGCTGGGCTCCTGTGGGGAAGCTGTTCCCTTCACCTGGACTGTCCTCCTTTAGCTTCCACGCCTGGAGGAAGTCCTCCTCCTCCTCCTGAGAAATTCGTCCTGAAAATCCACCTCCTCTGGGAAGCCTTCCCTGATCCCCAGACAAAGCCAATGACCTCGTCTTGTACATCTTGCTGCAACACTTGTGCCGAGGTAAGAGGTCTAGCAGGGGTAGAAGCGGTAGTCAGGCGAGCTTCCTTCTCCACCTGAGGTTCTTGCAGCCTGCCGCACAGAAAGCTGTTCACACGCCAAGGTCACCAGACTGGTTCCAACACAAGCCGACACACCGCTGAAGCAGCGCAGTGTTTGACGAACGAAAGATGAGACTCACCGCTGGGATAGGCAGGTGCCTGACCAGCTCTTTCGTGGAGATGCTCCTGGGTCCTCGCTGATCTTCAGAGCGCAGCAGCAGAGCTTGGCCATTTCCAGCTTCCTTTGGTGCTTCTAGGTGACAAACCCAGTACAGCTCCACCACCCCAACTCAAAGGACCAAAGCACCACCAGCCACTCTGTGGGGAAGCTCTGAGGAAGACGCTCCCTCCTGTTCCCCAGATTCCCAACACTTGGCTTCCCTTTTGACTTGCCCCCACTTAGGCAGTCATCTCTGGCACTCCTCCCTCCTCTCCATTCCCACTGCTTCGCCGTCTTCATCCTCCTCACTGCCTGTCCTACTCTAACTCCTTTATGAATGGCTTCCATGCCTTGAGGATATCTCTGTTCCAACCCTTCCTCCCACTAAAACATACCCAATGAAAAGTGCCAACTCATGTGCCCTCTCCGACAGGAAGTCTTCCCTCATCCGCCAGAAAACACGCACTGCAGATTTGCCTTCCCACATTTCCTGTGCTCCTTTCCACTTTGGTAGCTCAAAGATATCCAGTCCCGCCCCCGCCCCTTGTCTCAAACACAGTTCATTTCTTCCACTCTGTACTTTTTTCATATTTTAGATATATTTTTATTGATTTCAGAGAAGAAGGAAGAGGGAGAGAGAGATAGAAACATCAATGATGAGAGAGAATCATTGATCGGCTGCCTCCTGCACACCCCCTACCGCAACCCGAGGCAGGTGCCCTTGACCGGAATCAAACCCAGGACCCTTCAGTCCGTAGGCCGACACTCTATCCACTGAGCCAAGCCAGCTAGGGCCATGTTTTGTTTTGTTTTTTTAAATCATAACTTAATTCCTCATAACTGTAATAATTTATTTACATATCTGTCTCCCTCATTAAATTATGACTAGACTATAGTATATTTATCTTTCAATTATTCCCAGCGCTGGGCACAGGGCCCAGCACATAGCATACTCTCAGTATGTGTTGTATGGATGAATAAATCTCTAACTGGCCTTATATATGAAAGCCATCATTTTCGGCTTTAATATGTAGTTACTTGTACACACACCATGCCTTCCCTGCTGGACTCTGAGTTCCTTAAAGAGAGGGATTCTGTCTTGCCACTTACTAGGAACTTTGTAAGGTCAAGTGAGCGAACAAATGAAGGGATGAATGAACCAAACATCGATATGCCCCCTGCGCCTGGTTTGATAAAGAGCAAGGACTTCGGAGCAGGCAGACCTGGTTGTGAATTCCACTTCTGCTGTATGATTTAGTACATTGTGTGATCTTTGGGAACCTCTAAAGGTCTCTGAAACTCTGAACAGGGATCATGACAGTACCTACTCACAGGGCTTTTATGGGGATTCAATGAAATGAATCATAAAAAGTGATTAGCCCGGCACCTGGAAAACATTAATAACAGCTACTATTTACTGAGCACTCCAGTCAACTAGACTTAGGCCCTGGTATCCCACATGCTGAAGGCATCGCTAGTCCCACAGTTTGCAGATAAAGAAATTGAAGTTCAGAAAGGTTAAATTACTTTTTGAGCCTAATTCCTGCCTTGACACTTTTTTTTTTTTTTTTTAACCAAGGAATCCCAACCTGGCCTCTAGAAACACAAGAAGGAGAAGGGTAGTGGGGCAATTACGGTATTCTTGGCTTTCGGTCAAGGTCTCATCCAACAAGCTGGAACGTTGGGACATGGATGATTCCGATCAGGGGCTATTGTTTGAAGACCAGGGGACCCCGGCGTGGGGTGGGAGCAGGGAAAGGGGACTCAGAGCTTACTTAGAGGGCCCTCTCCAGGGAGGAGCCCAGGAGACCAGCCTGGCTCTCACTATAAAGGTGACTAATCACTTCGGTCCCCTCTGGTAATTGCAACCAGATGCTGCCGCTGGCAGCGCTTCAGTCCCAACATGTTTAATTACTGGGACGTAGAGTCCCTCAGTCCCCCGTGTCCCCTTACCTCCCCCTCTCCTGTCAGCAATATTAATGTCAAACTTGAGGTAGAGGATGGGAGCCTTGGGAAGCCACTGGCATAGAAATAATCATTACAGTCCCCTCTACCACGTAGAGCCTTTAACTCTTGTACATGCTTACCCGTCCATTATCTCATTGGCACTCCACAAAACATTCTCTTAAGGCCGGTAGGCAAGAATATTATTATCCCCATTTCACAGATGAGCAAACAGGAAAATGAATAATAATCATAATTCGTTGTTTTCAAACATTTACTAGTAGCCATTTTCAAAGTGTTTTTACATTCATTATGCTGTCAGAACCTCCCAAGATCTCCTGGAATCGGCCCAGCACAGCACAGTGACTAAGAGCATCGGCTCTGGGATCAGACAACTCAGTCTCTGCCGCGGACCAATTGGGTGACCTTGGGTATTCATTCATTTGTTTTCTTAATTACCTAGCAATTACATATTAGGTGCCTAACATATGGTAGGTCCTGGGCCTGACCACTGGACATCTACAGTGGACAAGACCACCAAGTCTGTGCTCACATTTTGTGAAAGAGACAGATAAAGAAGCAAACAAATGCATAGTTACAGAGAATTCTGAATACTGTGAAGAAAAATTAAGCCATGTCCAAGGGATGTCTATTTTAGATAGGAATGTCTCTTTGATAGGTGACATTTGAGCAGAGATGTGGATGTGGTGAGGAATGAGCCATATAAGGGTCTGGGGCATAATCTTTCCAGGTTGAGGAAACAACATATGCAAAGGCCCTGAGGCAGGAATGTGCTTGGCATACCTGAGGGACCATGAGAAGTTGGTGCATCTGTAGCAGAGTGAGGGAGAGAGTAGTAGATAGGGTCAGATCATGCCAGAACTACGTCAAGTATGGCCTCACACACCAGAGAAGAAAGTTGGATTTTATTTTTAGTGCAGTGGGAAACGCAATAAAGGGTTCTAAATAGGAGAGTTCTCTGATCTGTAACATAATGTTTAAGAGTTGGGCTATCTGCCTTCAAACCCTGGCTCCCCCATGCACCAGCCATGTAATTTCAGGCTAGTTATTTAATATTTCTGTGCCTCAGTTTCCTTATGTATAAAACTAGAGGCCCAGTGCATGAAATTCATGCACTGGTAGGGTCCCTAGGCCTGGCAGGCTATCGGGGCCCATTGGGCCTTTCCTTCCATCAGCTGCTGGCCGGCCAGCCGGGGCATTTCTTCATTCTGCACTGCCCCCCGGTGGTCAGTGCACACCATAGCAAGCAGTCAAACTCCTCATCAGTTGAACTCCTAAAGAGACAATTTGCATATTAGCCTTTTATAACATAGGATGAGACTAATAATAATAATACACCTATTTCATAAAGTTGTTGTGAATTAAGTTTGGTGAGTCAAGTTCTTAGAACAGTGGCTCCATGCATAGTAAACACTACATAAATGTTGGCTATTGTTTATATTTTTTTAAAAAACACTTCCCGCCAAAACTGGTTTGGCTCAGTGGATAGAGCATAGGCCTGCAGACTGAGGGATCCTGGGTTCCATTCCGGTCAAGGGCATGTACCTTGGTTGTGGGCACATCCCCTGTGGGGGGTGTCCAGGATGCAGCTGATCGATGTTTCTCTCTCATCGATGTTTCTGACTTTCCCTCTCCCTTCCTCTCTGTAAAAAATCAATAAAATATATATTTTTTTAAAAACCACTTCCTGAACTGCTTCTTTACCTATAAAATGAGAATAAAAATATCTGCTTCACAGACTTGTTATAAGAGCTAAATGTATTTA